AAAAAAAAAAAAAATATTAATTATTAAATTAAAAAAATATTTTTTTTTAATGTCGCTGCTGCAGCGACAACGGAGCAGTAGCTTATCTTACAATGTCGCCGCAGCAGCGACAACGGAGTGCAAAGAATTAATCTCCGCGTTCGCGTTCAATTTCCGTCGAGAGGAAAAACACGCGAGGAAAGGAGAGAGGCTTTCTGTTTCCTTTTTCCTTCCTTCTTTCTTTCCTTTCCTTTTCTCTCTTTCTTTTTTTTTTTTTTCTTTTCGTTAGTAGTAGAAAGTCAGATTAGAAAATCGAGCTGGATTTCAAACTCACCGAAGGACTTGCAGCTCTCGTTTGCGTGGCTACGCTGTGTAGGTGAACGACACGTGGATTGAACCACTCGGTTGGAGGATACTGAGCGCTGAACGTGCCCATTAACGGGGCACCCTTCCTCCGTGTGCTTCGCCGGAACAGCCTCGAGAGTAGGCCTATTTTCTCTGAAAAAATGCCGGAGAAACCTTGAAGGAAGAAGAGAAGGAACCGATGTTGCATTTCGTAATGAAAGATCGGGGATCGAGAAAGGGCTTGCCAGCTAAGGGTGAACTAAGAAGCTTCGTTCTTTGGTGGATGTTCAGCTTTTGGTGGTTCGCGGATGTAGGGAAACTTGGGGAAAACTGCGAATTCTCTTCGTCTGGGGAGTTGCTCCTTTGCGTGTTCGATGCAAAGCGTGCATGAATATACTTTTTTTTAAGCTTCAACTGAAAGAAATTGAACTTCTCGTGCCTCTGCGTTTGGTTCTCTCTCTGGAGAGGAATGTATCGCATCGAGACAAGAGACCTGATTTTTTAACGAATGTGCGTCGCGTGTTGAAACTCGAAACGGGATGCTCTCTTTTACAATGCGATCGTGCGTTGCACGTGCGTGATCCAGATCCAAGTATCAGTTAGCTTCAGTGGAAAGCTAACACGTCCCGATTAAACCATCACCCATCACCAAAACAATCCCTTCCCCGATTGAACTCACTGGTTGGACTATGGGGCGCGCTGTCGGTGCTGGCGTATTCCGCGCTCGACGATGTGTCGCTTCTTTCTGGCCTTCTTGGCAGAGACCGCGAACTTCCGCTTCTGTGTAAGCGTCTGGCCGATCCCCAAAGTCGCAGAGAATGTCGCCTCTCGAGGCGACCTGGCATCGATCGACATCTTGCGAACAGAACCTTGTCGTTCGGATTACCTGCAAGCACAACAAGCAACGTGTCTTCTTCTACGTACTCAAAAATTGCATTTTAACCTCTTCTCGTGCCATTTAGCTCGACGAAACTTGGTTTAACCCAAGTGTTAGGCGTCAACGCGTGATAAACAAGCCAGACTGATGCACGAGAAAAGTCACGATACCAGCCGAAATGTAAATGCCTGTGATATAGTCAGT